TACAGTGGGGTCTCGACTTACGAACGGCTCGACATACGAACGTTTCGACTTACGAACCGCTCTCATAGGAATATATGGACTCGAGTTGCGAACTTAGATTCGAGTTATGAACTCTTTTTTTCCTTTTTTTAAAAGCGAAGTCATCTTAGGTTAAAAGGAAAAAAGAAAAAATATCCCCCTCTAGTGGCAGAAGGTGGAATAGCAGCTTCCCATTAATTTCTATGGACGAAAAGAGCAGATACGGATTAAATGGTTTTCAATGCATTCCTATGAGAAATGCAGATTCGATTTAAGAACTTTTCGACCTGAGAACTGCCTTCCAATACGGATTAAGTTCGTAAGTCGAGACCCCACTGTACTAAACAACAACTCCTACTGAGTTCATAGAATCAAACACTGCAACACTGCTTAACCCAATATGTATGTTAGGATGGCAAATATTTTATATTTCATACTGATGTAATCTTTCTTATACTGTACACACTTTTTCCTCTTGATACAGCATTTATTTCTGCCTCTGCCACATAGAGAAAATAATAATATAGAATCATACAGAATATAATATTATGGAAAATAACAAGAACAAAAACAATGTGGTGATTTTGCTCAAGCTAGACAGTCTTGCAGGTGTATTTGTAAATAATATTGATAACTGGTTTATATACTGAACAGTTATATATTGAATAATGTATATCCGTTGGCTGAGTATTAATATGACTGACAGCTGGATGATAGAACATTGAGTGCAAAGCTGGCTGTTGACTAGTTGGTGTGACTGCAATGTGATGAAAGTAGAACTTGAGAATTAGTTGATTTTAAACAGTGTGTTGAGAAGTCTGTTTCTGGAGAGTAAAGGTCTGTTAAATAATATGGCAGAGATTAGTCAGAGAGAGAGAGTTTGCGAGAGCCTGTCTTACAATAAAGAGTTGAATGGAATCTTAATGAGAGTGCATGGTGCAGAAGGTCTGTAAAAGTAGTTATTTTAAATCTGGACACAAAACAATATGACTGCAATGTGATGAAAGTAGAACTTGAGAATTAGTTGATTTTAAACAGTGTGTTGAGAAGTCTGTTTCTGGAGAGTAAAGGTCTGTTAAATAATATGGCAGAGATTAGTCAGAGAGAGAGAGTTTGCGAGAGCCTGTCTTACAATAAAGAGTTGAATGGAATCTTAATGAGAGTGCATGGTGCAGAAGGTCTGTAAAAGTAGTTATTTTGAATCTGGATACAAAACAATATATTTATACTGTACTTCACAACAGTTTTCCCTTTATCTGATATACCTTAGAATCTAACCAAACTCTCTTTATTATTTAATTTCAGGAGTAACTGAGAAAAATCATCACCACCCTAAAGTCGGACACGACTGGACAAAAATTGTCAAGGGAACCTTTACAAAACAATATATTTATACTTCACAACAGTTTTTCCCTTTATCTGATATACCTTAGAACCTAACCAAACTCTATTATTTAATTTCATGAGTAACTGAGAAAATCATCATCATCACCATCATTATGTGCCATGAAGTCAATTCTGACGTATAATGAACCTTTTCGGGGTTTTCTTAGTAAAGAATACTCAGAAATAGTTCACTGTCCCCTTCTTCTGGGGGCACCCTGGGACTGTGTAGCTTTCCCAAGGCCAAACAGACTGCCTGTACTCAGAGGAATCCAACTTCCAACCTCTGGCTCAACAGCCAGATTCCTAAATCACTGAGATAGCCAGCTAGCCAGCCAAGAAGATGTTAAGGAGTCTACAAATAGAAACATTAGCCACAACGCATAAGGCTATGCAATACCAGAGGGAAAAGAAGACATTATAGCAGAAAGAGAAAACAAAACAGGAAAGGCAAGTTCTATCAGAGCCAGATTCCTAAATCACTGAGCTAGCCAGCCAGCCAGCCAAGAAGATATTAAGGAGTCTACAAATAGAAACATTAGCCACAATGCATAAGGCTATGCAATACCAGAGTGAAAAGAAGACATTATAGCAAAAAGAGAAAACAAAAATGGGAAAGGCAAGTTCTATCAGAGTTTTTTATTCACATGTCTTAAAATCCAAGTTGCTGTGTTCTGAATCACTGAGCTAGCCAGCCAGCCAGCCAAGAAGATATTAAGGAGTCTACAAATAGAAACATTAGCCACAATGCATAAGGCTATGCAATACCAGAGTGAAAAGAAGACATTATAGCAAAAAGAGAAAACAAAAATGGGAAAGGCAAGTTCTATCAGAGTTTTTTATTCACATGTCTTAAAATCCAAGTTGCTGTGTTCTGTTTTGGTTGGTTGGTGTGAGGCTGGGAGTACCCCAAGAGGCACTCCTCAGAGTGTGCCGTCTGCTTCCTCGATCAAAGACACCAAGAGACAAATGTTTGCCCTGGAAGAAGATCTAAAGGGACTAGGTTTGGAAGAGTGGAGGCAGGAAGAGAAAGAGGAGAAGGAGCCACTGGAGGACGTTATTGTGACAAACCCAGACCTACTGGAACAGTTGGAAATTGAAGAAGGAGAAGCTTGTTGGGTACAGCAGGAGGAAGATGAAAGGAAAAGAGATTGGGTGGAAATAGTACAGGAAGACCCCTGGACAGGAGAGTGGACGGAGTTTAAGGTCTCTATGCCGAGAAAGCGTGGAAGAGGAAAGTCTATAGGAAACCACCTTATTGGGGCAAGACGGAAGAAAGAGGAGAAAGTTCAGGGAGTGGCATCAGCGGAAAGCCCAGAGGCAAGACAACAGACTATGTTCAGGCCATCGTGGGAAACCCCATGGGAGGAGTGCATTCTGACCAAGGCTGAGGCAAAACCTGGGCAAGAAAGTTTGGGAACCACAGGTGGGATGGGTTCTCCATCCTCCCCAATAAGGTTGACAGCAGGTGTACCCCATGAATCAAGCGTTCCACAGAAGTGGCTTTACAGAGACTTAAGTTCCTCCCCTCTACCGTTGAAAGAGGATTTCTTCTGGTTTGATAGGAAAGGAGAAAACAACACGTCCCTGAAGCAAGAGATGGAATCTGCTACTTATGCTGAAATGGACAAGTTGTTACCAAATAAAGATGTTTAGTTAGCAACTCATGGTGTCCTCGAGTCATCCTTACATCGAGATCCAGAGGAAG